AATCTTTGTACAAAATTGTAGAAAATTCAAGAAAAACACCTCTGGTGGAAACTGAAGAGAGCGTCTACGGAAGGCGCGGGACGAAATTGGAGGGCGAAGTATGGGAGGGTGCTTCATTTGGTAGCTGGGACAGAATCACCTGATGAAATGGCGATTCCCAGATGACGCCCGGTGACAGTGACTGAGAACTCGTTAAAACAAGTGAAATATCGTTAAAACAAGTGAAGTATTGTTCGAAATTCGGTAACCAAAGGCAGTCTAACAGGATAGCACATGTTTAACATGTCGGATTTTTTGACATGTAACGGTGGTAATGACAAGTAAAGTTGCCAACGTCACAGGTGTTAACGTGTCAATGATGGTTAATCATGTTAATGTGCCGGACTCCGCTGGAGTCAAGTGTTGCCTTCTCTCTGGCTCAAGTTCGGTCTATATTAGGCAGGGCACATCATCGATGGGGATTCCGCAAGGGGGGGGGGTCGCATTTAGACGCTGAGGGAATGGAGGTTGTATTTGCTGTGAGAGGAGTTTTTTTATAGTGGCTTCTGCTTGTTGAAGGGCTTTTAAGGAGGCGGGTGGTCGTCCCCTCTCTCTCCGTTCGACTGCTCGATCGTATCAGAGGAGGGGACCAGGTTGGGGAGGGGGGGAGTCGTGCGAGGTTGACCAAAATCCCCGACTAATGATGTGCCTTGATATTAGGCGCTCTGCTGTTCCCCCATGGAATTTCAACGTTCTCTACCATATGGGTCTCCAGGAGATGTAGAGCTTAGCTCACGGCCCAATAAATTGCCTTATATGGTGCCGCTTACAAGGAGGACGTGAAACTCTCTAGTACATTTTAGGGGTTAATTACAGCAGAATGGAGCGCGTTCATACTTCGCAATGCAATCGATAGCGCGTCAACCACGTCTGGGGACGCCCGCCGCCATTCGGTCAACCGCCGCGGCGGCAGAATTCAATTGAGCCGCGTCGTTAATGCATTACATGAAAGCGGCGCAATCGCTCAAGCTATCCGATCGCGCGATTCAAGCAAAGTATGAGCGCTCCCTTGCGGCCCTTGCCTCGATAGGCGGACTTGCGGGAATCGGGGAATCCTTGTAAAAGATCAAAAAACACCATAGTCTAGTGAGGCACATCAGCCGGGTCGCGTGATGTCCAGGTTCGAGTTCTGGCTGAGGTCAAGTCTTTTGCTCACATGTCAAAACTCTTGTGAAACTTTTGGAGCGCGCATTGTGGAGGTAAATAGTAGTTATCATAAGTCAACTCTGAAGAGCTCCAAGTTGTCCCTTCTTGTAACCTCGGCATGATGTCGAATGCTTGATTATTTCTGCCAAACGAGGTTGTTAGATGAAACTTTTTTCTCTGAATCTGAAACGTCAGGCCAATAAAAAGGTTTCATCTAACAGCCTCGTTTGGAAGAAATAATTAAGCACTCACGAGAGCGTCGAAATGGTGACGCACCTTAACAAGCTGTGGATGTTTCGGCGGTGATGGTGGTTGTGGTGAGCAGGATGACGAGGAACTGGAGGAAATCCGTGACCGTCGAGCTGGAGATGTCACATTCGTGAAGTTCTGTAAAAGGTTCCCATAGACTTCCTCATATGGTTTTTCCAGTCCTATGTAGCGAATATAATAATATTCCCCCCTCTCATCTTAGGATGCGCCCTCAGTTAGCGCCGAAAGCACTCTGTCTAAAAAGATAAGCGTACCGAAACAGGCTGTTCTACAGGATGGTGAGCACCATAGAAAAACGAGTCATTCTTTTTGTAGAAAAGGCGCTTGTTTTTTAGATGGAGGGACATGCTGGAGGTCACATAACGGACGCAACTTCATCCTTTCTGCAAATGGAAAAAAAAACAAACGCAGATTTGCAATTGAGAGCATTTGTCATCCATTTGATTCGTTTAGCTGAGAAAACGAATTATCGTTGATCGCGAGAGTGCGTTCATACTTTGCGTCAGCGTTTTGAGTTCACGCAGCGACGTTCTCATGCTACCGAGGAAACGCAATAGGTTGATGTGATCTATGCGGTTTGAAGCGTCCCCAGTGTTACAGCGGCTACGCTGGGCGTAGCGCTAATAAGATCAAATAACAGCCACTAGCTCAAGAAGCGCTGAGCGCGAAGTATGACCCCTGCACTAGCAAACCAACCATGTCGTATTACGTGGGAAGGGGATTTGCGGTGACCTGGAATCCACTTTTTCGCATGTTAGGTTTACTTCCCTAGCACCCAAAGTTTTAGCAGTTCGTGAAAATTACGCCGCGGTTGTGCGATTAGTTGTCTTAAGAAAAAAATATAAAAAGTAAACTAATAAAAATAAATGTATATGTAAAAAAGGGAAAGAATATCTCACACTCGCGAGTGAAGAGGAAACATCGTCTCGCAGTTGAAGTTGGATAATGACTGTAGTAGTGATCCCGATTATGATCCGAATAGTAATAGGAAGGGTGAGGTGTCATCTAGGAGAGTCAAACAATCCGGAAAACAATACCAATCTCACAAACCAGTTTCTCTGATTAAACAGTAGCGAATTCACAAATAGAACGCGGCCAACTAGTTTGGGGGGATGGTCTCATGTAACCTTATCCCAGAAAGGCTGCCGGCTCAGGAAATGCAGACGACGCAAGAGTCCGAGTCCGACAAAGATAGTGCCCAGAGAACATAATTGCGCTAAGCCTGGCGATTGCGAGGAAACGATACGCCCTCCCTCCCCCAACTACGTTAGCGCTGATTTTACTTACGAACATGTGATGTAAACTAGTTAACACAGCCAGGGTACGTGTAAGCGCATCCGAAACAATGAAAAATATCAAAAAATTCCGATGTGAAAAATAAGCATGAGCAGATTAACGGGAAAGAAACGATGTGATTACTGTTTAAGAAGGGTGGGCACTAATTTGATTGAAACAACACTACCTTAATGAAAAAGCAGTGATAATACTGAAAAAGAAATGGAAACATGAAAAAGTCGCACGCAGGTTATACAGGCATGCAGTTTTGTCATCAACACTTTTAGCCGTCATTAGCTCAAAAGGTGTGATCTGCGCAAACGGTCGATATTCCGCAAGTTCACTTAAATCCTATGTGAGCTAATCTGGGGAAGCTTCCTCAGAATGCGAACCGTTTGGCAAAACCAATGTTGTCCATGATTTTCAAGTAATTCGGAGATGAACAATTCTGAATTCGCCGGAAGATCTTTTCTACAGGGCTTTGGGTGAAGAAAGTGAACGCACCAATGTCTGGAAACCCGTCTTTTTTATGGAGTTCCGCGACCCTTTCCAACAAATATTAAGCGCAGAGAACAGATAGAAACGACATGACAGCATTGGTAATCCGCTGTCTCTTTGTAGTTCGCGAAACCACAACGACCGGAGACAATACATGTATTCGAATCGGCGCGGGACCCGCTGATTCGGCAAAAGAGTCGCCATAGTATGAACGCCTGTTATTGTGACAACTAAAACACTTTTGGTGGTGCCTGCGCGAAAGGTCAGAACTTAGAAATAACGCGGCTGCTACCTGAGGATTCGCGAGGGCCAGTAGACTGAGTTGATGAGGAACCGGGGTGGAATAACCACTCAACTATGCGTGAAACGTGGACATGTTGAGTGGTCAGAGTGGTCACAAGCGTCATGCAGAAGTGGAGGCGGTTGAGAAAACGTAGAAAGGGCCCTATTGAAGGGAGTGATGGTTAGCACGTCGTCTGGGCCAGACGCGATGAACACGAGCCCGAGTGGGCGTCCATACTTTGCGATTTGGTCGCTCCGGTCGTGGTCGTGCGAGCCATGCAGGCGCATAAGCAGAGCGGTCAAAAGCGTGCCAGAGCGCCAGGATTTGGCGCATCGTCAAGCTGTCGTCGACTAATTGTTGAAGCAAGAAAGCGACAACGATTGGTGGAAGACAAGCTGGCACTGCGCCAAAGCCAGCCCTTCGCACCCCGACACGGTCGAGCATCCGCAGCAGATAAGACTGTAGGTCGGGCTATTGGGCCTGGCCCACTGAATGGGGGCCAACAAGGATTTTTAGAGAGCGATTCGTGCCGATTGTACAAGAAAACTGATTTCGAAATTGTCGAAAACCATTTGGTTTCTAGAGGGGTTAATATAGTTACTCTAGTCTACGCTAGTATTTCGAGAGATGGAGAGGGGCGTGGCTGCTTACTCCATTTGAACATGGCATAGATTGCGTTTCCCGTGGTATATATCCATTTGAATCAACTGCCATCCTGTCCAGTGATGAACAGACATTATTATAAGTGTCGCAAGACAGCAATATCCCAGCATTAGCGCGGCTGCCGTTATGTTTGAATGAAGAACGCAGCCACGCCCTGCCCGTCTCTGAGATATGGAGCGCAGATTATGGAAAATCTGCTGTCGAGTTTTCCAAACAATTTCGATGTATATATCTACTAGTCATAAAGGCTACTCTTCAACTTTATGAAATCCATCAGTGTGACTGTATCTGACAAGAATTTTTTCAGTCTCACGCCTACACTGTCGATCTCAGCAAGCGGAAACAGATTTACAACATTGCTAGCAAAGTGAAAGCTGAAGTTGGCAAAGTGGATATCCTCATCAATAACGCAGGAGTCGTCACAGGTACGGATAGTCTCGCGAGTTTGGGTTGCCTAAGTGTGGCGCATCCGTAGCTGGATCCTGATAGGTTTGTTGCTGCGGCGGCCAATCATGAGTATTACAAGCCTGAGCTCAGCCATGCTAGGCATTTTGGCTGACACCTTCAGAATATCGAAATTTTACTTTGGACATTTTAGGCAAAAAGATCTTCGATTGCCCAGATGAGTTAATGGAGCTGACAATGGCTGTAAACACTCACGCTCTATTCTACGTAAGTCCTTAATTCAAGAAAAAAATTGAGGGGAGTTTTTGAGTAGAAAATTAAAGTAATTTATTTATTTCAGACCACGAAATCATTCGTACCAGGAATGATGGAAGCTAATCACGGTCACATCGTGACAATCGCGTCCATGGCCGGAAAAGTCGGAGTATCTGGACTGGTGAGTGCCTCTGTTTATGGCATGGATCCTATCGGTTTACTCACCTCTCACTAAAAGTCACTCTTAAGAAACATTCTTAATCAGCACCCGTTTTTTCGGTCAGTTCCGTTAAGAATCGTCTCTCAATAATCTTGCTCATTGCGGATGCTGGGCGTGTCAGAGTACGTTTTCCATCAGTCGATGTCGCTTTCCGTTCAACAAGTGCAGGAGAACGAGCTGGCGCATTGTCAGAGCCACCCCCCCCGCCCTGACACGCCCTAGCATCCGCAGCGAACAAGACTAGAATATGTGTCTCCTTCCCAGTTCCGCAGTCCGCAGCCTTGTCAACCTCGCAGTTATACAGAACTCTTCCGCATGGGATATGCCTTTTTTGGAAATGGGCATTCGCAAGAAAAATCAAAGAATGGATTAGGCTGGTAACGGTCAGGAAGTCCGCGTTGCGACAGAACAGCGAAAGCGATGCCGCTAGAGGTGGTGCGACATGCGCAATGGGAGCCTCAACGTTGTTGACTCATCGCTGTGGTGTGCGAGCGGGAATTCCGCAACCCCTCCCCTCCTCTCCCCCCCCGCCCCCTTCCAGCTACTTCCTCT